TCAGAGTAGCAGCTCACCACCACCACCATCCCCGGGCCCACCCTTGACCCTCATGCTCATCTCCACCCCTCTAAATATGCAGAAGCTGCTCCATGCCCTGTGAATTCCCCAAAGTACTGAAGCCAAGACACATTGTACATGGGAGGAAGAAGAGGAGTCTCTTCCCCTGTGTCACAACTGTCACCTGGTACCACTCTTCAGAGGTGACAATGGCTCCGTCAGCCGCTGTCCGTGGCTCCTGTCCTGCTTGGGCTCATGTGATCCAGAACCAGCCTCACAGGCCCATGTGTTTCCTTACCCTTCCCTCCTAAGGCCCTCCCCCTCTAGGTGGCACAATTATGGGGCATTTTCCAACAATGAAAATGTGAAAAACAAATGTGACTTCAGAAAGCATTATGTGATGTCAGATGGCAGACAGGCTCAGAATGATCCGCACATACCAAGAGAATCCCTCACCGGACCGTGATTAGAAAATCGATGTCTGTGGGCGTCCGTATTCTGCCCATTCAGTGTGTTTAGGCAAAACTGTTTAACCGGATCCTGCCCTTGACCGGTCTGATGCTCTTGACTTAACTAAGTGGCTCTTAGACCAAAGCAGCGCTCAGCCTTGAGATGTGGGAGGACAGACCCACACTGAGAAGAGGGGCCTCTTAAGCTCTCTGCCTCTTCCTCCAGGCAGCCCACCGAGCTCAGGCTCCATCTAGGCTTCCTTCAGGGACAGGTGAGAGGGGCGCCACAGGGCAACGAGGCCCCCAGCCTGGGGCGGGGAAGTATAGTGAGGGCCACCACAAGTACATTTGGAGGTAATTCCAGATTTGCCTAGAGTCAGAGTGAGGGGAAAAAAGGTGCTACAGAGACGGTCGTGTTGATACGGATGTCGGGAGAGAGGCAGCAACCAGGAGCTGTGGGAAGACGTGGCTGCACCCCGAACTCCTAGGAGCCACCTGAACCCCACTGTCCGGCCAGGCCTTCCCTGACCTCCTGCCACCTGTCACTGAGCTCTAGGGGCGGCCAGGGGCCGGGGCTCAGCCTCACTGTCTGCTAAGAAGTGGGGGCGCTAAGGGGCATCGAAAGGAGAGGTGGGATAAGGGGAGATAAGGGGCTGCTTCCGGTGACTGGAGGTGACTGCAGGCAGGGGCCCCCGTCAGAAGGCTCCCGATGCAGCCCACCGGACAGTGCCCTTCCGAGGGAGACTGTGGCTGGGGCACTGAGTCTGCAGGAGGCGGGACAGGCGCGCCTCGCTGGAGCTTTGGGAAGGAGGCTTGTTTGCGGGCCAGAGCGGGTCCGCGACGTGTGTGCCCCATGGGGGGACTGAGGCCGAAGACGGCTGCAGAGGGTCCTGGCGGGGGAGGTGGGGTTGGAGGAGCCAGGAGTCACTCAGGGAGGGCGGGCGGGCAGGAGACCGGCTCCGGGAAGGAGAGCCCAGGCCAGGAGACAGTCCTAAAGTCCTGGCCAAGTACATGGCACTGCAAATGCAAATGGAACAGTGAGGGGGGCCGATGCGTCAGCAGCCCTGGGCCAGGAGCGCGGACGGCAGCCTGGGGAGGGGGGCCTGCACCACGGCCGCACCCACTCCAGACACCGCTGCACTCAGCGCTTTGAAGCTTCGGCACCCCCTCCACACAGGGTGCCACCCTTCTCCCCAAAGCGACTGAACACAAGCCCCTTTTGGCAGCCTGGAGGCGGAGAGCTATCCCCCACCGGGGGCCCAGAACAGGATGAGGCAGGGGGAAGCCAGGGCCCCCAGAGGTCCTGACTGCCACATTTCTCAGCGTGTGAGGACCCAAGCCGCCTTACACCCCTCCTCGCAGGAGGCTGAGGTGGCCATGACGGTGAGATCCCTGCGGGAGCCCAGGCCTAAAGAAGGTGGGTATCTAAATGCAGCCACAGCCCCCGTTCCCGGCACTGACCCTCGGGCCTGCTGCCTCCATGGAGTGAGAATCCTCTGAGTGTCTTCCGGTCACCCCAGAGGAGCCGATGCCCTTCTTGAGGGAGGGTACACAAGTCAAGTAAGGGGACACAGCTCACACGCGACACCCTGCCAGGGTCGCATTCGCCGCTTCGGTTTCCCATCACCAGGGGCTGAGCAGTGCACACACAGGCTGAGGCCCAGGCTGCAGAGTGGATCTGCTTCCCAAGGGCAGACCCGCGTTAATGAAGCTCAGAATGTGCCAGACCCAGGCATCCATTTATCGGAGCAGCGAAGACCTGCTGGAGGATGTCTGGGTGCCCCCGCAAAGCAATGGGGCAGGACCCAGACACAGAAGCCAAGTGAACAAGAACTTCCTACAAAGGAAGGGTCGGTTATGCAGGGAGGAGGGTCCACCTGGGCCCCGTCTTCCCTCCTGGCCCACCCCGCCTGTGTTCTCAGGCTGAACCTGCTCTTGCAACAAAGGATCGAGGGGTAATGAACACCCAACTATTCACTGGAAGCATGAGACACCAGCACACCTCCAAGAAGCGGGGTGCCGGTGACACGGGGGAGCGGGCTCAACTTGGCTTCCACAGTGAAGGTTCCAGAAGACTTGGGACTATACTGAGAATTCAGGCATCGGCAGCTACGGAGAGTGTCCAAAAGATGACAGGAGTGTGCGGGGGGTGGTGGGAGTGGGGAGTGGTCTAGAGCTCCTTTGAGGAGAGTCTCACTCTCCCTTTAGGGTGCTTCTCAAGTTCTGCCCTAGGCCCAGTATTTCTAGGACTTGAACATACTCCCTTTCCTGTGGTTTAACTCCCATGCACACAGGTGACTCGCTAGTCCTGAGCTGTCCCCTAGCTTCAAGCCACACATCCAAACGCCTGCTGCAGTGCCACTCAGATGTCCCTCAGGCACCCGAGGTTCAAAATGTCCTGAACTAACCTTGTCATTTTCTGCCCTCCTGCATCTCCTCGTGTTCCCAGCTCTGGTGACATGCTCAGCCCGTCACCCAAGGCATTCTAGCTTTCCTCTGCTGTCCCCAGTGCTGCTTCTGAAACCTCTCAAATCCATCTGTTCCCCTCCAAGGTACCCACTGCTCCAGTCCAGACCCTCACATTTAACTGGAATATTGCAGTAGCGTCCCTACTGCAGCATCGCCAAGCTCCGCTCAGACAGTGCGCGTCCACGCCGCCCGTGGCCTGACGTCCAAGCTCCGCTCAGACAGTGCGCGTCCACGCCGCCCGCGGCCTGACGTCCAAGCTCCGCTCCGCCATGAACGAGGTCGGGAAGCTGCCCCAGCACCCTGCCATCTCAGCTCTCACCACTGCTCACCTCTCCGTTTACACCCCAACAGTCCTAAGCTGCTCTGGCGCCCGCCCGCACCCTAAGCCATGCTCTCACACCACCATGCCTCTGCCTGGAACTCCCTTCCCCTCAGCTCGCGTGGCGCCCCGTGCCTCCTCTTGTTCCTGCCGATCTGCTGGTGCCAACCCAAGGCTCGCCCCAACCCCGCCCCTCAGAGACCATGTGAGCCAGGAGAGGTAAACGCGGAAGGAGCTGACAGGCAGTGGCCCCGGGGATGCTGGTTATCGGGGAGCAGAGGAAGGGGTGGAGGACGGCTCTCACTCTGTGGGACTGCAGAGCACGCCACTGACTCCCTTGTGTGTGAGGAGAAACTGCCACGCTTCCCATCACATCCACCATCTGATAGGTACTGCCCAAGCCCATGAAATAACCGGGGCCTGAGGGCCTCGCGGTATCACGGGCATAGATGTCAGGACAGGGATTTTCCTTTAAGATCCTCTAGAAACCAAAGTCCGTGGTCAGTATTTTTAAACCCTCCTAAGGAGAAACTCTTGAAGGCCAAAGTATGCACATCAGCAAGCCATCCTGGTGAGCCCTTCTGACTGGTGTGGAAGCACTGGGCAGGCCTGGCACGAGCTGGCTCCAGATAAAATTGTGCCACGCACCTGGGATGCAGGGCACTGTTCAAAGTCCTCTCAGGGGGGACGCGCCAAGTCCTCCCGCCTCCCCTCTGCTCAGCTATCGCATGGCCATCAGCAACAAAGCTTCCACCAAGAGGAAAAGGGCCGGGGAGGCAAAAACACAGGCCTGGATTTCTGTAAGGTTTAACATTCAATCCAGCCCAGTCTAACTCGAGGAGGACTGACTCCTTGAGAAAAGGGAAATTCTTAAACCCTATTTCCTTCGTGGAAGTGGTATCCCGTGGGAAGAGGTACAATGTGGCTGGCTGAGTGTTCTCCCCAGTCTCGACCCCCTGTATCTCTCACCCATATTGTTGCAAAGAAGGAAATCCACATCAAGTACTTTAATACTAGCTCAGCCTTGCTCCAAGTGTTGTCAATTCGGGTCATTCAGACCCTTTCATATTTAGGGATTCTCAATTGCCGTACTTGCTAAAAGGAGAATTCATAAAGGAATTTTAGTAGGAAACCTGGGCCACAGAGTGCTTTGGGGTCCCCGCACCTGAGTTGCCAGCGGAAGGGGATTCAGGACCATAGTTAGGAACACCTCAGGCTCCAGAGACACAGATCCGGTTAAAGTCTGCCTCTGCCATTTTCAGACATGCCACCCAAGCACATTACTTAGCTTTTCCAAGCCTCAGTATTCTCCTCTGGGAAATGCGGAGATTAGTACCTTCTTCCCAGGGCTGCCGTGAGGAGTGAGAGGATGTGTACAAAGCGCCTAGCACAGAGCCTGCCAAAGAGCAAATGCTCAATAAATACTGGCTACATTTGCTATTATTAATATTTAGCAATGACGTCACTGATGTTCCTCCTCTTTGCTGAGGTCACGGTGGTCTACTTCAAGCCAGATTCCCAGTTATGCCCTCTCTCCCCCATCTCAAAAGTTCTTCTGTATGGACACGCCCCAGCTGAAACCTGCCATCCTGAGAATTTGCTGCCGTGTGCCAACGGACTGCGTGGACCCAGTGACAGTGTAAAGGTAGAGTGAGGCCTGGAATCACTGCCTGGGGCCTTGGATTTACCTCTAGTCCCCCACGTTATCAGTCCGGTTCAAACACTGATAAAGTCCTCCCATGACAGCAAATGTAAAAACAGCCTGAGGACCGCATGGGGGATTTTTATAGGAGAAAAACAAATGACACTTAAGAAAAGTGCCTTTAAACCATAAGAGACAAACTGAGGGTTGCCGGAGGGGAGGTGGGGGATGGGGGATGGGGTAACTGGGTGATGGGCGGGAAGGAGGGCACTTGATGGAATGCGCACTGGGTGTTATACGCAACTGATGAATCACTAAATTCCACCCCTGAAACAAACAATACGGCATATGTTAACTAAATTGAATTTAAGTTAAAAATGAAAAAATTAAAAATTTTTAAAATTGAAAAAAAGTGCCTTCATATCTGGATCCTTAGCATTTGTAATTCACTTCCAAATAACCTGGATTATACCAAGATAGCTTCCCTGGGTATACACCAAGCTTAAAAACTGGGTAAGTTTCTAGCATACATCTTACGATCGGAGATTTAAATACACATTTTTCTCTTTTGCTGTTGTGGCGGGGGGGGGGGCGTCTCCTATGATGCCTTCCCTCCCGCATGAGTTCTCCGGTGGGCACTGAAGTGGGAGCTATTGTTGAAGTCTTTCCCACACTCCATGCACTTGTAGGGTTTCTCCCCAGTGTGGATTCTCTGGTGAATAATCAGACTAGAGCTCTGGTTAAAACACTTCCCACACTCTCTGCACTTATAAGGCTTCTCTCCCGTGTGAATCCGCTGGTGAGTGATGAGGTTGGAACGATCACGGAAGAACTTCCCACACTCAAGGCATTCGTAGGGCTTCTCTCCCGTGTGCACTCTCTGGTGTGTGACGAGCTTAGAGCGCTCACTGAAGCTCTTCCCACAGTCCACACACTTGTACGGCTTCTCCCCCGTGTGGGTTCGCTGGTGGTTAGCCAGCGTGGAGCTCTTACTGAAGCTTTTCCCACATTCAGCACATTCATATGGTTTCTCTCCCGTATGGATTCTTTGGTGGCTAATGAGGGCAGAGCTCTTAGAGAAGGTTCTTCCACAGTCAGAACACTGGTAAAGCTTTTCCCCTGAGTTGGTGCTGTGTGGGCCAGAATTCAAGTTCTTACTGGCACTCTGAGGTTGTTCAAGAGCTGTCTCTTCTGTGGAGTTCCTGCAGTGAGCACTGAAGGATGGGCTTGGGCCCAAGTTTTCCCCAGGCTCACTGCAATGGTCAGGATTGCCTCCCAAGTGGATTCTCTGATGTTTCAGGAGGTTTGAGCTCTGGTTGAAACTTTTCCAACATTCCCCACATTTATAGGGCTTTTCCCCTGTGTGGATTCTCTGGTGGGTGACAAGATTGGAGTGATCACTAAAGCTTTTCCCACATTCAAGGCATTTGTAGGGCTTCTCTCCAGTGTGGATTCTCTGATGGGTATTGAGGTTGGAGCGGTCACTAAAGCTTTTCCCACATTCAAGGCATTTGTAGGGCTTCTCACCTGTGTGGATCCGCTGGTGGGCGTTGAAGTGGGAGCTCCGATTGAAGCTCTTCACACATGTATCACACTTGTAGGGTTTCTCTGCCAAGTACAGGCCTTGATGGTCGATAAGTTTTTCTAAGTCCTCTTCAGAAGAACATTCTTCCCACTGCTCCTGGGGGGTGTTTCCCCAGTGCCCTTCACCTTCACCTTCATTTTCACTGTCTTGCCCCCAGTCAGGAGGGTGGCAAACATCCTCTCTAGTACAGTTTGATAAAGCTCCAGGCAAATCCTCAAAAATATCCTGCTCCAAAATCTGGTCTTCATCCTTATGCCTCATCTCAAACCCTAAAACAGACAGAAATGCAGTTTTTCTTCATTCATTAGTTAACATCTATTTATGGACCTTGTGTCTTGTGAATTTAACATGAATTTATTATCACATATTTTCTGTTCACATCTTGTAATATGACTAACATGAAACTGATCAACTTTTGGTGCATATGTAAATTTCTGACCTGCAAAGCAGAAAGCAGAGCCTAGAACATGGTGACCTCACCAACGGAGTCATGAGGCCCAGGCCACACAGCCAGCTCATCAGTCTCTGGCCAACTCCCCCATCCCTCTACTCAATACTGAACACTTCCTTCTTCTAGCACATTCCAAATAGCCTGTGTCATGGGAAATTGAATAAACTCTATAATTTCCCAGATAAATCCCAGTAAAATCAAGATCTTGATACTGCTTATCTCATTTGGGGGATTACACAAAGCTAGAGACTGAATTATCTAAGCAAATCACAATGCTTTTCCTTTTCACTTCCATTCTCCCTTATAGTTCAGAAACAAACAAGAAATGAGCTGGCCCCCTTGCTCTCCCTGCATGCTTCTGGATTTTGTGGGCATCAAATTACTCCCAGCTTACCAGTGTCTGGGGTATTAGGACGTGGGACTGGAGATTTGATGGCATCTTCATCTGCCATCTCATCCCAGGCCTGCTGGTCATCAGCCTCGGTACTGCTCTGCCCGGACCTAGGGAGAACTGCTGCCTCCCTGAGGGGTCCCATGGCTCTGACGGCTGTCCGCGCCCTCATCAGGGAGTCCAGCTCCTCATAGAAGGGGCACGTCCCTGGTGGGTGGCTGCTCTTGGCTTTCCGGTAGCTTCGAAGGAGGTTTTTGAATCTGTAGCGACACTGCTCCAGGGTCCGCAGGAAGCCCTGTGCACAGAGCCGCTCTGCGATGGCCCGGTACACCTGGCTGTTCTGGTGACAGGTGCGAAGCTTTTCAGAGAAAGGAGACTCACTGAGAATGGTCAGGAAGGCCTTGGTCTCCTCGTAGCCCCAGTGCACACCTGCTGTCAGGAGTGAAGAGTTCAGAACTGTGAGGCATAATGAGACGTGCCTTGGTCATCAGGGTTCAGGGTCCCCTGCCCCACCAAATGCCTAGAACACAGGCCCCTCAGAAATTTTCCTAGCACCCGGGGCCCCAGCAAAGACTATTCCCTTGCTTCTCAGAGGTATGCCACGGCCTCCCACCCTGCCCCCTTCTAAGAGTTTCCATTAATTCTTGAGTCTTAGCTGAAGAGGACTCAGGTGGCCACATTATACCAGGTGACCCCACTCCTCTGGCTTCAATTGACTGGTGTGGGTTAAGGCCTCAAGCTGGGATCCAAGAGACTTTATGTCCATGCCATACACATCCTCTATTATTTTATGAACTTTTCTCTTAACATGGTAACTGAGAATCCCTAGACATAAATGGACTTCAAACAATCTTGCAATAGCATCCACGTGAGGATGCCCTTTCCTTTTGTGGAGGAATGAAAAGGAGGTGGTCTGTTCTCAGGTCCTCTGCAGGTAAATGATGCAGCCCAGGTGGGAAGCATGGTGGAGGGGAAAACCACATAAAACTGGAGGCAGAAGATCTGGGCTCTGATCCTGACTCTGCGCCTACCTCACTGCGTATCTTTAGACAAGACACTTCATCTCTTGGGCTTCTGTGTTTCCACTTGTACGGTGATTGGGTGTTTCCCAAATGTCACGTGTTCAACTCTATACCACCAGGATTTCTGTTACATATTAAATATCTCACTCAGTATCTTTCTTTACCTAAATTTACTGTCTGTGAAATCACCGGTTGATGTGCTCATTACACATTAAAATTAAAAGTTCACTCGTAACACAATAACCATCCCCATACTCTTAGTGACACACTCTGGCAAATACAGCTAACCCTTGAACAACGTGGGTTTGAACTGCACGGATCCACTAATACACAGATTTGGGTTTTTATATACAGTACAGTACTGTAAATGTATTTTCTCTTCCTTATGATTTTAATAACATTTTTTCTCTAGCTTACTTTATTGTAAGAATACAGTATATAATACATATATAAAGTAAGTGTTATTTACGGTACTGGTAAGGCTTGTGGTCCACAATATGCGCTATTAGTAGTTAAATTTGGGGGGAGTCAAAAGTTATACATATATTTTCGACTGAGCAGAGGATCAGTATCCTAACCCTGCATTGTTCAAGGCTCACCTGATACTGAATTAGCTCTTTAAGGTTCCTTAAGGTTTTAAAAGTTGGCTTTTATAGCTAAAAAAAACTCATTTTAGGAAACTGATCATAGGAGGCAAGAGTAGGAGTTTGGGGACAACCAAAGGAACTTAACACCTTACTCCACATGGCATCAATCTAGACTTGCAATCCAGTCTATGCTCTGAAATCAGGGAGCAGAGGTTTGGCTGGCAGGAGAGTTGGAATCTGGATCCACGACACCCCCTTGTTCTTACCAATACGACTCTGGAACAGAGTTGGGCCCCCTGGAATCCTGGGCTCCTGGACAGATTCATCAGTGGCCAGGTCATCACCATTATAGTCTTCTGCTGTTTCCTCAGGCCCCCAGCCTCCTTCCTCCTGCTCATCCATCTCTGCATCACTATCCCCCAGCCTGGGGAGTGCCATAGCCTCTCCTGGGCCATCTGTGGTTCTGATGGCCGTCCGGGCCCTCACCAGGGCCTCCAGCTCCTCATAGAAGGGGCAGGTCCCTGGTGGGTGGCTGCTCTTGGCTTTCCGGTAATTCCGTAAGAGGTTTTTGACTCTGTAGCGACACTGCTCCAGGGTCCGCAGGAAGCCCCGAGCCCTCAGCCGCTCTGCAATGGCCCGGTACACCTGGCGGTTCTGGTGACAAGTCCGGAGCTTTTCAGAGAAAGAAGACTCACTCAAAATTGCCAGAAAAGTCTTGGTCTCCTCGTAGCCCCAGTGCACACCCGACACCTTCATGTCCTCCGTGTCCCACTGGTATGGTTCCTCCCAGGCCTTTGAGTCTCTCCAGGCCAATGACTGAGCTGGTCTTATTGGCTCATTACCTGGGTTGTAATCTGCACTGTTCCTTTTTCCAGAATTTATAAAGCTTGGATGCCAAAATTCTGGTCCTTGCTCTCGCTGGCAGTTGATACTTGGTTTTGAAACTGGGGGAACTCAAACAAAAGAAAGAAGAGAAATGATTAAGTAGAAATGACACACTGAGCAGAGCATTTGTCCAAAATGCCCCTGAAAGAGATCATTTCCCTGCATGAGGCTAATGAGAAATTCCCATGCCAATTCCCCATGTTAACTGACCTGTTTGCTTTCTTCACTTGCTTTCTTTGTTGTAGTTATGAGCCATAACACAAAGAGTGAGTGTTACTGGTCCACAGATGGGCACCTGGCCTAAACTGGCCCAACCAGAATGAATTTAATGGTTGGAGAAAAGGTTTTCCTCTCTCTCACTCATTTGCTCTGTGTGTGTGCTTGTGTGTGTCTCTTGCTAGGAAACTTGTGAGCTCAACTGACATTGGCATCTATCTTTTGATTATGACACATGACACTCCAGGGGGAAGCAGACACTGAGGATGGCAGAGCAGAGAGAAAGAACCTAGGTCCACCATGACACTGCTGAGCCACTTTGCACTGTGGTTGGAGCATGCCTTCCGCTGGACTTCCAAAAACGTGAGAAAATACATTTCCTTATTTTTTAAAACACTTAGCAGCTATGTGTAAAGGACTGCTGTCCCAACAGCTCCTAGCCCTAACAAAACAGGAAGCCTTTAATTAAAATAAATATTTGAAGAAAACTATATCAGAAGTAGCTGAGAGCTACGAGAAACTTTAGGCTCACTTGGTTCAGCATTTCCCAAAGTTTGCTGTGAACACTATCTTACCCAGATATCATGGTTTATGTAAAAAAGGAGTTCTACTGTCAGGAAAGGTGCCAACAAGCTTCCCGTGCCTCCCCTTAGCTCCCCTGAGGAGGCACACCTAACAATGTCTTCCACTTTATCCCCTTCTCGCGTCTAACCCCTCACACTGACCCCAGGCTCTGCAGGGAAATGGCTCGTTTTTGTTTGGCTCCCTGGAGATGCGCTACAGAGACAGGTGCAGGCCATGCGGGCTTCAAGTGCTTCGAGCCCTATGATGCTTACTTCTCACTGTGGTTTAGTACATCAGTCTCATGGGTTCAGCTCACTGGAGTCTGCCCCTGAGAGACGGACCCTGTTTGCTGCAGGAAGGACTGGGTTTCTGAGACAGCCTAGGACCGCCGTGGTCAATGTACTGAGGAAATGAGCCCCAAGAGGGCAGGCTCTTGGAAGCCAACCGCCAGCCTCTCTATGCAGGCAGACCCCACGCCCCCCACTCCATCCCTGCCACCAGTGCTGGCCACAGAGAGCGTATCTTCTTCCTGTGTCTCAAGTGCCAGACTTCCTAGAGCCACAAGTCTTAAGGGAGCGACGAGACAATCTTCAGGAACTGAGTCCACCAGAAACCAGACAAGATCTTCCTGAGAGGGAACTATTTCCTTACCTAGGGGCACACCGTTCCCACACCCGTCTCCTGGGGGGTCCTTGCAGAACTCCTTCTCGGCGTGTTTGCCAGGGCCCAGGGCTTCCTGTGAGATGTACAAGACAAGGACGGCAATTGAAAACAGCCTGGGAACCCTAGCAGGCCCCAGGAAAGGTCACGGACACAGGGAGACCATGTGTGAGACCAGCATCGTAAGGAACAGCATGACTGAGGAGAGGCCCAGCAGACCGGGGGCCGGGAGGCAGCGGCTAACGCCCTCCAACACATGCCCTTCTGCTGAGGGCAGGCCACAGAGAGAGGGGAGGGACGCAGGGGCACGGGCCCAGAAGAAGTCAGGACAGGAAAGAAAGGACAAACAGCAGCTTACCTGGGACTCGGCTGTCACCTCCCAATCTCCAACACTCCCCATCTTCGGGAGAGTAGGGACTCGGGGAGTGAGGACAGCTGAGGAGAAGAAAAAGTCTCTGAAACCCAAGCTCTGGTTCCCAAAAACCATCCCCTCCCAGGTCCAGGTTTCCAAGGGCCACGCTTGCATCAAGCTGAGACTGCCTGGCTAGCCAGGGCAGATTTCCCCCTTTTACTTCCCTTCTGGAGTGTCTGGTTCCGAAGCAGGCCTGAGAGAGGGCCGTGTGTAAGATGCCAGCTCAAACCCCTGTGATCACCACCTGGCCCCAAGGCGACCTGAATGTGCTGCGTGACTCAGCTCAGTGGGGCGTGCCAGCATCGCTCGGAGCTTCCTCTTGCACAATGCTCACCTGCCTTACCTCGCAGCGTGGCCATCAGACACTATTCTACCCCTTGCCTTGAATTCCTCACATCCCTCCTCCCCGTGCGCCCTTCCTTACCCACTCTAACCGCCTCCTCTCTTCCCTCCTTTTCCCTGATCCTTGGTACTCACCACTCTCTTTCAAGGGCTGTGGCACCATCTTGGTGTCTAGATGCTTGGGAAGGTCAGGGCATGAATTCTTCACCCACTGCTTCTGGCACTGTGCCTCGGGCCAGTGATTCGCTGGCTGCAGCTGACAACGCTGAGATTCTTGCATTGCCTTTAAGGACCTGGTCTCTTCTGCACACAAGTCCAGTTCCTACACACAGACAGTCAAAATTCCCAATCATCAGTTCAATAAGACCAATTTTGCTAGGGCAGGGAATTCTCTTTTGAGTACAGCTGTGGTCCAGAAGTTCACAGGCCCATTTTAAGATCCAAAGATGACTCAAAGTATGACAACAAAGCCATGAGACCGACGTGAGTAAAGAGACCAGCATTGATATCACCAAATGGCTACTGTTTTGTTCAACAAAGGGAGGCTAAGCAAGTGTCTCAACGAGGCTGCTACTGTTCCAGACATTTTTTAATCATAAAGAGATAAATCATGTAACGTGATTTTATGACATTAAAACATAATCTCTAGACATCACAAACAGACCGTTTCATTTTTAAGGTATCAAAAAAAGATAAAAGTTAACCAGGTATCTGTCAAAAGATAAAAACAGATATAACAATAACTTTAAATATAATTGCTCTAAATATTCCTGCTGCGAGGCAAGGAAAATTCAAAAATAAATATAAGAGAAAGGAGAGGCAAACAACTACAGATGGAATTTTAAAATGGAATAAAAGTATGTGCTGTTTGAGAGAGGTCCATCTACTCTTAAAACAGAAGGAGAAGCAGAGAGGAGGCACTGTAATTCAAAAGGAAAACAGAAGTGGTAATTTCGACTTCAGTGCAGAAGTTCAGGCAGAAAAGCCCTCAGAGACAGAGAGCACATATATAAAATAAGAAGGAATAATCGGTTAAGAGAGGACAGTACCCAGCTCAGCATTATCAGTCATAAAGCTCATTTCTTACCCGTCTGTTGGTTCCAAATTCAGAGATGGAGGTGGAGATGTTATTTCCCCGCCCTAAAGCCCCAACAATGTAACAACCTCATTGCCTTACAGAAACTTTAAAAAATGTGTTTCAATGTTTTCCCTCCGTATTTTCAATACTCAGGTGGTTTCAATAATAGAAACTATGAAGGTCTAGTTAGTGAGAACAGCCCATCCCATCGGCCCAGTGTCTTCCTTCTCCCCACTCCTCCCCACAGGAAACCACTGTTCTGCATCCTCTCGGTTTCTGTATATATAAGCATCTATGAATACAGACTCTTACTTCTTCCCTATTTTTATATAAAACATAGCAATTATATACATTGCTCTGAACCTTATTTTTTGATTCAAAATAATAACATCCACCTTCATCGACTTACAGAGTTTGTGAAACCTGTAACTCCAAAAATCTTTTGGCTGATCTGGAAACTCCAATCTTCTCCCCAAAACGGGGATGTTTATCCTTAAGATATATAGGAATGGGCCATAAGCATAAAAAGCCATTCCAAATGAAGCCATCCACCAATGTCCTGTGTGGTTCACAGGGAGAAAACATCTGCTTCCAACCTTCTTCCATGGTTGTTTAAGGAAAAAACAAATCAACCTCTCTTTGTTATAGCTATAATCTTACCATCCGCAGAGAAATTGTGTGACTAGACTCCATAACAATCCTCACTCCCAGCCCGAGCTCCTCCAACTACTGCCACACCTAAGCAAAGATTCTGGTTCCACGGATGGCAATTGTAGACACAGAACGGAGATTCAACAAGGAGAAGGAAAGAATCAACAGAATACTAGTTGGGGTACGGATGAATAAAGAATCCACCAAAAATGCCTGTGCACCACACAAAAGCCTACACATGGATGTTTACACAAAAGCCTACACACGGATGTTTATAGCAGTTTTACTCCTAATTGCCAAAACTTGGAAGCACCCAAGATGTCCTTCAGTGGGTGAATAAACTGCAGTACATCCAGATGATGGAATATTACTGTGCTAAAAAGAAATGAGTTATCAGGCCATGAAGACACATGGAGGAACTTTAAATGCATTACTCAGTGAAAGAAGCCAATCTGAAAAGGCCACATACATCCTGTATGATTCCAACTATGTGACACCTTGGAAGAGGCAAAACTATGAAGACAGTAAAAAGATCAGTGGTTGCTAGGGGTTTGGGGAAGGGCAGGATAAATATGCAGAGCACAGAGGATTTTTAGGACAGTGAAACTACCTTGTATGATACTATAATGGTGGATACATGTTGTTATACATTTGTCAAAATCCACACAATGTACAACCCCAAGAGTGACATCCAATGTAAACTAGGGACTTTGGGTGATAAGGACAAGTCCATGTAAGTTTACCGATCATGACAGGTGCGCCACTCTGGTGGGGAATGATGTCCATGTGGGCTGGGGGGGGACAGGGGGCATATGAGAAATCTGGGCACTTTCTGCTCAGTTTGGCTGTGAACCTAAAACTGCTCTAAGAAATAAAGTCTATTTTTTTTTTTAAATGCCTATGCACCTGATGGGGAGAGAGGTTCTGGAAGAGGTGACGACAGAATCAACAAGCCAAAACCCACCCAATAGCAGAGCTGAAAGATCTCTTTAAGGAAAACATCTTGGACATTTAGCCCAGCAGCACCGCCTTTTCCAGGCAGTTCTCTCTGAGGAATCTAGTTAGCTGGTTAAGTCTTGGAAAATTTTCACTTGCAGAAAATGTAACTGAGTCAGGTATCCTGCAATGTAATCACAAGCTGTAACATCTGTGGGGGCAGGGAGCTCCTTTGCTACTTATCCATTTGCTTGGCCATTTGTGAGCACTCAAGAGCAGGAAGAAAGTTAAAAAATAAAAATAAAAGTCACAGAAGATAATACATCATAGAGAACGTTCCATTACTTTACCTTTTTTTTTTTTCCCTAATTTTAGAAGCAGTTCAACCTCGCCTCAGCTCATAGGGGTATAATTTGAGAACTCTTGGTCTAATCCAACCCTCTCATTTTACAGATAAAGAGTCATAAAGACCCTGATTTAAATTGATTCTCATCTCTGAGTCTCAAGGTCTTCATCTTCCAGCTCTGAAGTCCTAAGACTTCCATTTGTTTTTTCACTGCTATTTAAGATGAATAGCTGCTTTCTTTACAAGAAATAATATGGGAAGGTGGGCTGGCATATTCAAATAAGGTACACTCTCTCATACTTAGTTCTGTAACTTCAAATAGGACACTTGCTGTGTCTTCAGTTTGTAAAGGAATCCAAAAAGCCAACCCACAGACCACAAACCTTTCTTCCCCTGATCTCACATCTGTCCAGAGCTTTACCTTTTACAGAAAACCCCTGCCATTTGCAAGGGATGTTCTCAAACCTATAATTTCCCCCAACAAAATGTGATTAACTATAACATCAAAAAACTACTGACCACATAACAAGGGGAAGCAACAGGGTTATGCTGAGGTGAAAGTTCTGGGCGGCTGGCTCAGCCCGGAGCCAGCTCAAGGACTTTGCTCTACATATGCCAGTTCCAAAAGCAGGATTCAAAAAAAAAAAATGGTGCCACAGAAAAATTATCAATGACATCATGGGCCTTCAGTCTCTTGCAAACTGTTGAAACTGTGAATGTTAAATCCACGATGCCTTCACTTCCCTTATCTCGGCTCTACCACTTACTTAAATAAATCCAGACAAGTTCCTTACCTCTTTGAGCCTCTACTCACACAGCTGAAAAATGGTGGCAGAACAGCACCTACCTTCTTGGGCTGCTGGGTTGATGAGATGAGCAATACATGTAGAAAGCTGAGAATGGTGTCTGACACACAGTGAGTGTTCAGGAAATGTCAGCTACTAACCCATTTGAGCCTCATACCTCAGAGGTATTTTAGGTCCCATGGTCTGGCAGATGAGGCATCTGTCATGTCGTAGAAAGAACATCGAACTTGGAACCTGAGCATCTACGTTTAGGCTCTGGTTCTTACTGAGCTCTGCAAGCCACCTGAGTTTGGGGGTCTTAGTTTAATCTACACAATGAGGATGATGATGCTACGTCTGTCCACCCAGATTTCTGCTATAAGCACCCAAAGATTTCATCACGTGTGAATCATAATACAAATCATGCACACTGTGAATACGGTCCCAGGAGGCAATCTGGGCCGTGGTTCTGAATGTGGCCTTCAGCATCAGGCTGCCTGAACATGCTCTGTTGTCTGGGGCTGTGTGACCTCAAGCCAACCACCTAGCTGTCCTCTGCCTCAGTTTCCTCATCGGTAAAATCAGGGTAACAGTACTGATCTCATTAAACCTTTGACAGGATTAGATGAGTTAATACATGGAAAGCACTGAGAACAGTTATCAGGTTTACAGCAGTGCTCAGTAAATGTCAGCCGGTCAATAACAACAACAATCACGATTATTACCGCTGTGGTTTCGGCAATTATTAAGCTAGTCACAGCCCCGCCGCCTTGCCTGACCCGCTCCTTGAAGGACAGACTGTTTGCCTCACCCTCTGGCCTGCAGCCCGGACTTCTCGGTGCCAATCCTCCACCAGGGCCACTGCCTCCTCGCCACTCTCAGGGTGGCGTGCCTGCACCCAGGCCTGGACCTCCCTGGGTAAGATAGTCAGGAACTGCTCCAGCACCAGCAGCTCCAGGATCTGCTCTTTGAGGCGGATCTCCGGCCGCAGCCAGTGACAGCAGAGAGCCCAGAGCTGGCTGAAGGCTTCATGCGGTCCCGCCGCATCCCTGTACCGGAACTGCCTGAAGCGCTGGCGGGAGGCCTCGGGGCCAGGGACGGGGTCACGGTTCTCCTCCCAGAGTTTGGATTCTGATCTCCACGAGTCCCCCTCCAATTTCACAATCAGGAGTTCTTCAGGCTCCGGTCGGGGAGAGGCCTGGGTCTGGGGTTCTAGGGCCACGGCCATGGTTGGTCCTGGATACCTCGCTTCAGCTGGACTGTTCTTGTTTAACGTCTTCCTGCATCTAAGGCGTGTCCTTCAAGGGGCTCCTAGGAGAGGCAATGCTCCCCAAGGCTCTGAAGGCAGAGAAACAAGGGACAGTGTAAGAGGACCCCCGTACCTTCCACTGCCTTTGCCTGGGGCAGGGGTGCTAAGAGAGGAATATGCATAAGCGGGCGACCATGCCAGCAGGCAGCATGCCTTGGAGGACAGCACAGTACGAAGTCCTCTGGGATGCGCCAGAACACTGTATTCTGGCATCAAGGCTTTCATCATTAAGCATGCCTGCCTTCCTCTACGCATGCCCAGAGTCTGACCTTTCCTCCAGGTGGGTTCCAAATGTCACCCCCTCCATAAGGCCTTGTTTCCCAGGCTTCAACTTTCCCCTAAGGGTGCTCTCCTCACAAAATCCTTTCACTCCATACCCCCTCTTGGTCAACCCATCCATTTGGCATTTTTCACCATCTCAAAACTGATGACTCCCAAAACTCCCACCAGGACCTGCCACCAGACCTCCAGACCCCAAATCCAACCATCTACAGGACATTTCCACTTGACTGTCTACTAGGCATCTCAAACTCAGTGGGCCACAAACTAAATTCATCTTTTTCTCCCACAAACCTGTCCTTCTGGAGCTCTCCACCCCGCCAAGGCACCACCTTCTTTTTTTTCTTTTAAGATTTTCTTTGTTTATTTGAGAGAGAGAACACACGAGCAGGGGGGAAAGGGAGTGAGAGGAGGAGAAGCAGGCTCCCCACTGAGCAGGGAACCCAATGAGGGGCTCGATCCCAGGACTCTAGGATCATGACCTGGACCAAAGACAGACACCCAACCGACTGAGCCACCCAGGCGCCCCAAGGCACCACCTTCTATCAAGTTACCCACACCAGAAACCTGGTCATCATCTCTCTCCAACATCCCCCACATCCAATTCATCACCAAGCTGTGCCCTCCTGGCCTTCTAGGAATCTACACCCCCAATGCCACCACTTTGAGCCAGTGAGTAGCCATGCTTTTCACTGCATCAGCCTTCTAACTCATGTCCCTGCCTGCTCTCCCCTCACCCCAACCCGGGGTTCTTCACACAACCACCAGACTAGCTCCAAGTCTGACCAGGTCACTTCCTGCTAAACACCCTCGGGTGACCTCCCACATTCCTCAGGATCAAGCGCGAACCTTGCCCACGTCCCCACCTCATCTCTTTGCCACACTCCCGCTGGTCAGGGCGTTCCAGCCGCACACCCTCTGAACCCTCCCACGGGCTGCTGGCAGTCTCCTTTGGGAAGTGTTCTCCCTTTCTTCACCTAGCTAGGTCTCAGCTTCAATTATACTTTTTCCAAGAGGCCCTCCCTGTGCCCTGAAACAAGATTCAGTCCTTCCTGTGCCACCAGCTTCTATGCCACCTACATTTGCTCCGTTGTTCTCTTACCCACGAGATCATAAGCTTCCTAGCACAGTGCTCAGCACACGCAGGAAGCGCTCAATAAACAGACAATGGTCAGCTCACGATGGTGACGTGTCATGAAGCAAGGGTTATAATTAATCCCCTGCTGCACACACTAGATTTTTTTTTTTAATGACCTTCTTGCTCATGCCAGAAGGAATTCTCTTCTCTTTACTTCCATCAATGTCACACAGGCCACATTCTATGTTGTGTTACAGGGGTGTGTGTATGTGTGGCCCCAGATGGATGACAGCCAGAGGGCAGGACTATAGTTTGCCCCTTCCCTCCCCCACCCCCGAAATAAGCATGGCACACGATGCACAGGAGGCTCTCAGTAAATGCTTGCGGAGCGGACATCTGGGGTTGCTTCTTTTACACAATGAAGACTGACGACACTCATGCTGGCTTATCTGGAAAAATGAGCTCTTTGTGTCATTCCCAACAAATCCAGATGACATAAAAAACACCCATTCAAAGGAGGCTATTAGCTACCCCCAAGTGGGAATGACACAGCTGAACTGAGAAGGGAGGGGGTTATTATTTAGATTTTAGGCCATCTGACTGGACTGCCCAGAAACAAGGCAAGGGCGGTGCAAAATAAAGCCTCATCCTGAAGACCTCCACATACACAGGAGGCTAGGAACAAAACTCATGAGCACCTGGCAACCTCCTCTTTGTCCTTCAGCTACCAGGTCATGCCCTTGTCATGCCCTGCCCCCATCCCTGCTCTCCCAGAATCACCGCCCCACGACCATGTTCCCAAAGCAGTTGGCACATGCCTCTAATATAGGTGTCCTTCTACACCATTGTAGTTCCCTGTTCTGACCTCTGACAGCCCCACTGCATTGCATTATTAGGGCCAGGACTCTATTTTACCCATTTCTGTATCCACAGTGCCTAATAAATAGCAGGGCCATTGGCAGTTTTGTTGCCTTTTATGAAAATGGTAAATCTGGTACATCAAAAGCCTCCTGGGCTACGGAAGGTCCATCATTTATACTAAGCTAAAGAATTAACTCTTCATGAAATTTCTTTTTTAACCACAGCCTTAACCATGCACTAGTCCAAAACCATCTGTGGCGCTCTCTCGCACAAGTCATTCACCACCAGTCATTTACAGAGTCCTACTGTGCACCCACACTGTACTGCTAGCTGGAGAGCCACCAGTAACTGGGACAGACGGTCTCTACCTTCATGAAAGTTACACTCTCATGAGAGAGACAGTCAATAAGCAAGCAGAGAAGTCTGTGCTCCTGCACCAAGAGAACATTACAACAAAATAGGCAATTAGTAGTTTTGCCAGGCCCAAAGCCCAGGGTCTCAGGTAATAGGTATTTTCTTCTGGGAAGACTTGAAAGTCCCAAAGGTTAGTTTCAAATAAAAATCTGAAAGCTTTTTCTGCTACTCTCTTCGACAGGTAATGAATAGTGGCCTATCCACAGAGGGAGGTCAATAAAGTCAGCAAATAGCAGGGTGACTTTACAGAGAGCTGACGGAAAAAAACAGACAAGGGCATTCAACAGTCCTAAGATGACCAGGAGTATCCGGGCCACTCGAGGATCGGCAATCTCAAAGAGTACCCATCTACTGAGTGCCCATGAGGCGCCAGCCTGCTGCTAGGTGTTCCACCTTCATAATCTCACTGAATCCTCCGGGCAAGCAAGCGAGGTGTCATTGGTGTGGAGCTGTACTACACTGATCTGTAACTTACACGTGTGAAACTGCACGCGAACACCGGAAAGAGAAAGAAAGCACGTAATTTAAACGGTGCAGTCAGTTCCATTCACTAGGTGTCTGTTCCAGAATGAGCATGACTTTCCTGGTCCCCAGGGTGGTCTGAGTTCCCTCAAGCCTTCCTTTCCAGGGTGTGAGCAAAGTATGTTTCATACGGCTGGTCCCGAAACACAGGCCAACTCTTTCATCTGACATTCAAGCAAGGAAACCCAGCTGCGCTGGTTAGCTTATTGAAAGACAGTGTGTTGGTTTCTAAATGGCTCCTCGCCAAAGGATTTTCTAGCTGACTGTGATTTTTGGCTAAATGTGATTTCCACCTTCTGTGCTGACTTTAGAATATAATTATCCTGTAACGTATGAGTCCACATCCTCAATTTACATATAGGGAACTGAGCTTCTATGAAAAGACTCACTTAAAGTCACACAACTAGCAAGCAGCAGAGTTGGGACTCAGCCAAGATTCACTCTTTCACTCGTTTTTCTTAACTGCACCCTACAGCTTCCCCTAGGTGTGCCCATCATCCAAACTCCTGACAAGATGGTATGAGAGTGGAAAGAACATTAAGGCAGGAGGGAGCAAGTCAGGGTTCCAGTTCCACTCATGCCATTACCAGCTGTGTGACTTTGGACAGGTCATGTGGCCTCTGCAGCTTACAGCTTGACCCTACTCAGCGCTTGCCCCAGATTCCCCAATTAGCATGATGGGAGCAGAGCAAAGGGACAGGAAGACTAGAATCAGTGGCTACACATTTAAATGGCTACAGGGGCCAGGGAATGTAAATGGGTACATGAGTGGAGTGGGGGCTGTGACTAACTATGGAGCACTAGAGAGAACACTGGCCCAGTTCCCAGGCCTTCTATTTTTTCCAAGAGAAGCTAACTCTGGATTTTTAAATATTGGCAACCTACTCAAAATTGTTTCAAACACCAGGACTAAATAGAGGATGATGACAGGCTTCTTTCAGCATGGGCTGTCATCACTTTACCAGCTTTCAGCTAAATGATCTCAAAGGTCTCTTCCAATATCCCAGAAGACCTAGAAAGGGTACAGATTCCCCCTAAGCAATGAGGGATCGGTGTTGACTGGGTCAGGATCCCTTTACAAACACAGGGAAGCTGAGGGGTATCCTGGCTCCTGGGGTATTAAGTGTGGATGTGGACATAAGGAGCCCACCCACTGAACAGTGAGTTGGTAAGAGATCTGCCCCAATCCCATGGCAAAAGCCAAGGCTGGTCTGTGACTTCCAAAGAAGAAACTAGGAGTCCCCAAAGGCTCTCAAGCTTACTGGGCTGATGGTCCAGGCTACTGCTTAAAGTAACTTGACCTCACATTTAATGGGATTAAACCAGGGAGAGCAAATGGGCTTCCCATAAAGCACCAACTTCAGTCAACTGCACTAAGGACTCTGAAACCCGTGTCAGTATGTGTTGTCACCAATTAGCTAAAACCACCAGACACAGGAAGGAGAAACGACAGCACACATTCTATATATTTGCCGCCCCTGGCTTAAACTCCCATAGGTAATGAATCAGCACCCAGCAAAGACAGCCCTGACAGGCAGGAGAAGACTAAAAGCTCATGCCCCTAGAAATCCACCGGAAGTAGCAGCCTTCAAGAGTGGTATAGCAAAGCTCACCCTAGATTGTCATTATTCACACATGCATCAAGTATTCAAGTGTTTGCTGATTTACTTGATTTACATCAAGTATTTACAACCCTGGGCTGGAAATGGAGGTGACTAGGAAACTGTCCCTGTCCTGGAGATGCTTATGGTCAAGTGGAGGAAACCAAAAAAAAAAAAAAAAAAAAAATCACAGATAATTATGATCAAATGTGGTAAATGCAGTAAAAGAGGTCTGTGGGAACTGGGGTTGGGGGGTGACTCAATCTGCTTAAGGCAACTGAACAAAGTAACATTCGAGTTGGTTCTTGGAAGAATGGTTCTCTTGGCAGACAATGGGGCGAGAAAGTGTACTCTAAGCTGAGAGAACAGCATACGTAACGGTGGAAAACTAAACAGCCTCCCCGAGAGATGGGGAAAACCAAACAGTCCTGGAGCATGGGGTGCACAGGATTAGGCTGCAGAGAGAGTTTATGAAGAGTCTTGACCATCAGGCTAAGGTGTCTGGACTTAATTCTACAGGCGATGGGAGCCAAGGTTTTTAAGCACAGGGCACAGTCAGATTTGTGGGTTAAATAGATGACGCTAGCTACAATGTGTCTGTCCAGGCTGGGGAGGTGAATAGGTGGGAGGCTTCAGCAAAAACCCCCACCAGAAAGGGGCTGGCTGATTCAGGACACATTAAGGAAACAGAGGGATCTGAAGATCCTGGATGTGGAAGAATGCAAGAGGAATCAGGGGGTGCCATTCACTTCCATCAGGCAGAAGGAAAGGGGACACTGGCTTGGGGCCGAACACAATAGCCAGTCCCACCTACTGGGTTCCAGAGGTCACAACCATTAGGGGAAGTGTAAGGGGGTATCAAATCTGCTATGTTTGTCGAGGCGGTCAGGTAGAGGCTGGAACACTATTTTTAAGGTCGGGCTTCAAGCTCAGGCCCTTTTCTCTTCACTTCTTGCCAGGGCCCGAGAACCCTCTATCCTTCCATCTGTGGTCTCCAGACCCTTCTAGGACTCTCCCGCCTCCAGAACTTCTCTCGGTCTCCTCACCTACAGACCTTTCTACGACCCTCCTCACTCCCAGGGTGTTCTAGCTCCCCGTTCATCCCCGACCCCTCTGTGACCCTTCCCATCTCCGGACGCTTCATCGTCTGGCCGCCCTCACCCCCACCCCCACAGAAAAGCTTCTTTCTCCCCTCTCACCTTCCCTGCCCTCCCTGGGACACCACCACCTCCTAAGCCGCCAGCCCAGAGCCTGAGTCTCAGCTGCCCCCGCCCCGCCACCCGGACTCACCCACCGAGACACCCACTTCACCAACAGGGCGGAAGTGCTCCGGGGTTCGCGCAGGGAATGCTGGGACGCGGAGTCCGCACCGCGCCACCCCGGGAATGGAGCCTCTGAGACTACAACTCCCAGAAGGCACGGCGCGAGCGCTGGTGGGCGGCCCCCTCCGTTTGCTGCCTGTCAGATGTCGTCAGCCAATAGATGTGTCACTTTCTCCCGGTCGCGGGCACCGGAACAAATCGGAAAAAGGGTCTACCCGTGGGGGCGGAGCCTGCCACGACCCCGGTCCTTCTACAGGCTCCGAGATTATGGCACCGCCCAGTGGGCGAGCATTCAAGCCGAAGGGGCGGGGCGTGCTGCAGGAAAGAGCTGGGAGCGGTGGGCCGCGAGAGGGCACAGCAGAAACTGGGAGAAATAGAGAGGGTGACTGGTGGACCGGAGAGAGTTGGGCAATTGTAGGTTCAATTTCCAGCTCACAGTTAAGCCACGTGATTTTGGAACGATGGTGAACCTCGCGTTCTTCACCTGTAAAGTGAGGATAATAATAGCATCTGTTCGCCGGGTTTTTGTGAGGCTTCAATGAGATAATACACCTAAGACGATTAAATCAGGGCCTGGGTCCTAATAATACACAGCGAATGCTAGCCATTATTATGTAAATCAGTTAGTACAGAGCTTGGCACTTCGTGGGTGTTGGAAAAATGTTAATCATTATTTGAATAATAATAATCAGAATAATTTCAATATAAATGCAGTTGCTTTGTACCATTATGAATACTTCGTGATATGAGCAATCTAATATGGGGTTGAGCTTGTGGGTTTTGCAGTCAGGCATGGATCCAAATCCCAGCCCAACCACTCCTCTAGCTGTGCGGCCTCGAATGTGTTACTGCATCTCTTTTGTGTTAGGTTTTTGCATCTGTAAAATGCAGGTGATATAATAGAACCTACATTGCAGGGTGTTGTGAAGATGAAATGAGGTAATGCAGGTAAAGCATGGTCTCTGGAATCAAGCTGCTTGTGTCTGAAGCGTCTTTCAAATGCAGGATGTAGGCTTTGCCACTCACTAGTTCTAAAACCTCGGGCAAATCACTTAACTTCTTTGTGCCTCAGTTTCCTTATCTGTAAAATGGGAATTATCATAATGGCATCTACCTAATAGGGTTTGTGAGAGGAATAAGTGGGGAAAAGTTTTTAAAGGACTTGGCACAGGCCGGGCAGAAGGAGTTTAATAATCATTAGCTATTATTATTTTTACTAATGGGTATGAGACTTTGGGGAAAGTAGTAGTACCTAGCAATATAGCAAGTGCTCAATACATGTTGGCTCTTGTTACAAATTAGGGGAATTCTATATTTTAGTTTTAAAGGCCCAGTTCCTCCTCATGTTCAAAGTGAAACATGTTCCAACTTATAGAACTCATGTGAGTGTGCTCAGTGAACATAAGAGTGACCCGTATACCACTCCTTGCTATTTAAGTCTTTCAACAGCCCCATGAGGCTGGTATTATTACCTCCAATTTACAGGGAGGAAATGGGGGCTTACACGGATGAAGTGACCTGCTCAAGATCACATGGTAAGTGTCAGACTGGAATTTGAACTGCGGGGGGTGACTCCAAAGGTTTCTTCTGGGCTCCACACTGATAGGGAAAAGATCACGGTTGGAGAAGGGTGGGGGTTGAGTAGTGAGAGAGACCTTGTGTCAGACATTTGAGAGAGCGTCAGGATCTGAAGCTGGAAAGGCAGGATTTGCCAGGCAAAGGATGGCCAGCCACTTCAGGATCACGTGTTGGAAAGACCTGTGGTGAGGTTGTACAGAGAGAGAAAAACACCATTACAACACAAGAGGGCGCCCCTCACCCTAAATCCAGCCTGGAATTGTTTGATGGTTTCCCTTAGCTTTTTTCTGATTAAAGCCTGGCATTTTACAGAAGAGGAACACTAAGTCCCTAAGAGGCCACGTGCCCTGCCCAATGTCACATAAAAATAATCAATAGCCTGAACCAGACCCCAGTTCGCTGCATTACTATCCACCAAGATTTTTTTCTCACCACAGTTGTCTACAAGAATCCCCTTTGTGCTGGGCCAGCACTAGGCTCTAAAGATGCAGAGGTGAATCAAACTGGCCCCATCCCCAAACTTTCCAGATCAAATTTCCCCAAGATCTCCAAACTTTCCAGATCAAATTTCCTATTAGTAAATTAGTAATGCTTCCTATTAGTAAAATAGTTTTGAACACACACTCCCAACATATGTGTATTTATTTACTTATAAATGATACACATACACGTAGTACATATATAATGACACAGAAAGCTAACTTTTATTGAACATTTATAATGCATCACTAGGTCCTGCTCTCAGTACTTTATACGTATTAATTCACTTAATCCTCACAAAACCCTCTGAGCAAGAGTCTAATACTATCCCATATTACAGAAGAGGAAACTGAGGTACAGAGGTTAAGTAACATAAAACCATATGGCTAAAAAGCGGGCAATCTAGCTTCAGAATAAAATGAGATCAAAAATAGAAATATTAAGTCTTAACATTTTTTTTCTAAACCCCTGTGAGTCATCTTGTGCACATCTCTTTGGAGACCAGTGCTTCAGGGGCCCCCAGACCTGTGCTGGTGAGTACAATGTGACCAGTACTTTGAGAAAGGGAAGTGCAGGAAGCTATGGGACCCAGGGGCAGCAGCTTACCTAGCCTGGAAGGTCAGGAAGGGCTTCTGGAGAAAGTGATGGCTAAGCTAAATCTGAAAAGATATGTAGTAGTTCCCCCAGAGGAGAGAGATTGGGGGAAAGTGTGTTTCTGGACGAAGGAGCAGCACATGCAAAGGCCCAGGGGCAAGAGCACATGGTGTTCTGGGAGCTCCAAGTGGTTTAGCATGGCTGGACACTGAGTGCCAAGGGATTGGATTTCTCCTCCCAGTGTTGTTATGAGGCTCATACAAGACCATAGGTATGACCATGCCTTTGTGTCTTTGCTGAGGGAACAGGCAATCAGTCTGCTGCCTCCTGGGCAGCATCCCAGCTTTTCCGTCCTCAGCTGCCAATTCCTCTATAACCCAGATGGCAAAAAGGGCCCCTCTGCCCCTTGAAGATCTGATTGAACTTGGCCTGGACTCCATTCCACAGCTGAGGACTGCTCACAGCCCTCCCTCTTTCCCCAAAGCCTCCATGAATTTCCAACTTTATTTCCTCTGAGCTACAGTTTCCATGACCCAGCCCCTTCACCTCCTGCCTCGTGTGGATTTCCACCAAAAACAAAAAGTCCAATTAAGCCAAGCATTTCATGGATTTAGTAAATTTACTAAGGATTTGGAGATCTTGAGATCACATCACATACTGCATGGCCACCTGCCATCTCCCAATTTTCTCATTCGGAGGCTCATCCAGAGCCTTCCCAAAGCCTGTGTTCCCCAAATCAGCTGATCCTCCTGACACATGCAGCACCCCCACCTCCCACCAGAAGCTGGGTTCAGTCTCGTGCACCCACACGTACCCACTATCTCCCTGCCAGGCTGGCTGCTTTTCCTATTCCCAACCTCCAACATGCACACACCCACTCTAGCCCAACCCAGGCTGCCCTACTCTGCTCCCCAGCCAAGCCCAGAAGCCGTCCTTTCTTTCATTTCCCCTGGGCCACACACAAAAGTCCCCTCTGCAGAGCAGCCAGGCCCGTCCACGGTAGCCTGGGAGGTGGTGGTAGGAGACAGGCTCCAGGAAGACCAGCAGCAGCACTGGAGGATGGGGGAGCTGCCAGCCTGAAGAAGGTGGCCAGGTGGAGCTCCAAGAGGCTGTGTGGGCTGTGCGGAAGCTGGTGACTCAGCACGCAGTGTGACCCGGCTGCTTGCCGTGCTATCTGCCACATTGGCAGCCGCATCCTTGCCTGCCTCGCAATCCTGCTTGGAGAGGCAGAGGCACGGCCCCTGGCCAGCAGGAAGGCCACTCTCCAGAGTGGACAGCAGCTCCTGCACCACCCAGCCCTGGGCTTGCCTGCGGTGGGACGCAAATACATCATAGAGGAACCTCTTACCCTCAGCCTCCCAACCCCTCAGACCCGGCAGCCAGGCCCTGAACAAGGCTGGAGATGGAGAATCCAGGAGTTTCTGGCTTCGTGTAGGAGGAGCGAGGAGATCAGCAGAAGCTGCAGGCAGAGCGACCCCCAAAGAGTTCCAACCCCAAAGTTTTGGGACAGCGGCTCCAGAGAAAGGAGAAAAGGGGATTCTTGGGGGTGGCCCCCAGCTTCTGGCCAGCACAGCTGGTGTGATACGATGTGCATCTATGTTCTGGGGGATCCACTCAAGCCAAGGCCCCACCCGGGCCCCTGGCACTCTGGGAGGCCAAGGAAGCACCCAGAATACACATGTGCTGTGTACATACTGTGCTCGAGAAGCTGCCATCCAGCACGAGGCCTGTCTCCCAGCCTAGCACCAAGACCTGGAGACTGCCCCGGGCTCTGGAAAGCAACAGTGTCTCCAACCCTGCTTTGACCAGATGCCGCAGCTCAAGCCTGGGTCGCTCGCCTACCCGTTCCTCAAGCCCCCCTGGGCAGGCCCAGGCTCAGGACCACAGGGCTGGCAGCTTCAGCTCCCGTAGATTGTGCAGCTCCATGACGCAGCAGGCCCCGGGCTATACCCATCCACCCAGATCGCAGATACTGGAGCCTGGCGAGCCGCCAGACGAAGAAATTAGAGGCACCCTGGGAGCACAGGGCCTCCAAGTATGGCCAAGCAGGGAGAGTTGGCCAAGGGCGGGGAAGATCTTGGCGACTTTCTGGGTCCCCAGCTACAGTGCCTCATCTTTGAGAGTCAGGGTTTGCAAGACTGACAAGACAATTGAGAAGCCAGCTTCGAGAACTTCCTATCTGAGACGGCACAAAACTCCAAGGTGGTCAGCCTCTTGGGCAGGGACGGCTCTACCCAAGAAGGACCAGAGGGAAACTACAGTCTCAAGCTATGTAGACTCTCTGGGCCCTGGAAGTCCAAAGCCAAGCTCAGCACCGTGGGTATCCAGCAGGGTTAGGGGGATCAGGGCGGGCAGAGGAGCCAACC